GTCTGCGATTGATCCGTCATAGACACGGTTCAATTGGAGTAGAGAAATGGTGCGGTTCCTTTAGTTGGAGTCCTCAGGTCGTCTTGAGTAAGGCGAAGACTTTCTTGGTTTAATTGCGGTCGACGTGCACCTGGATTTTTTGGATTTTGTGTCTCATCCAGGGGTCCTGCATCTCCGTCAGTCGTTGTTGTACCAGAGTCATGCAAGGCCACACCATTTGGACAGGTGAATTCTGCAATCCAACAAGTCTAAGAGGCATCGTAACGAGGCTTCCTGAGGAACACATACACGACATCGAAAGAATCGGTTTGCGTCTGCTCACAGAAGCTTGTATCTATTTATGCCGATGAGTACTTGTATGGTTATCCGACTGATTATGCAGCGCGTCGCTAATAGTCCTAAGTGGTATGTTTTTGCTTCAAATAGCTTAACTGAACGCCGTGCCATAACATGTCTACGTTACGAGAACTAACACAAACTGGGATGGTCGCGAACAAGACTCAGTAGAAGGAAGCTGGTCATAAATATCTGTGCACGTGATAAATATTCAAAGACTTTTGCGGATCTCTTTCCGAAGTAGGCCATTCAGTAGAAACAATGTCACAAGTAACTTACTTTCCGTCATTTGTTTTCGGAGGACATGCATGCAACGAGACATCTACCGAGATCCAATCCTTTTGCATCACCGTAGGAAGGTGAACGGGGACCAGCCGCTAATATTTAAGCAGGTAGTTCAAACCTAAGAAGACAAGTAATGAAAATTAGTTTATCTGCATGATTCTTCCTACGGGATGATCTACGCAAATGCCTTACTCACGCTGGCTTTAGTACAAAGACTTGCCCTATTATTTAATAATTATGCTAACAAAATCAGGTGAACGTCCGTCATCTGGGCCATGGCCCCTTCCATTCGTGTTTGGCCCAATCCTGGGCAGACATCGAGGAATTCCGCACGGCAGGTTGTTCAAATTTAGGGTGATTCTAACCGCCAATAGGTTTGGTGAAACTGAATAAATGTAGGAGACTCACTTTAGGACAACTGCCGTGGCACCCTATAAATGTATTTTCGACAGTACCGAGATTTCATATTTCACTTGATTTTTCTCTCTGTTTCAATAGGCGGAGACCGAGAGTTGACATGACGAACCCGGAAAGCTGAAGAAAGCCAAACCAAGGGAATTAATTTGTCAATTATCCATTAAACAAGTGCTCGTTGAGTCGATTAAATAAAGCACAGTACTATCTGAGGCCAAATGTCAGGCGGAATTGCTTAACGAAAAGCTGAATTATTCTAGCAACACACTTGTTACTGTCGCCAGCAACTTCGGCACTGTATATGTAGAAGTGCTATTTCTCTAACTTATTTAAACCTACTTATCGATTTTGCCCCAATAAACTAAATTGAACTAATAAAACCTTCCCTATATACTCTGCTATTGCATGATACGTCTTCCGCCACTAAAAGCCTGTGCGATGCCGCCCATGTAGGGTAAACTCACCGTTCAGCCCCACCCACATTCTTACCTGGAGTCACGACGCGTTTTCGCATATCCCATTTGCGTCACAATGGCTCGCCTTGAAATGCCTGTTATATTTAAGGCCCTAGGTGATGCCGGTGTACGCACAGCCTTGAAAAGACATTGCTTGCGTTTACTCGAGAATGATCACATTATTTTCGACATAAAAAATCTCGGGGTGCGACGTCTCCCGCAAGTTTTTCGCAGAGGTGGGGAGAGGCAATTTGAGGGACATTATTTTTTATTTAATATCGATGGGCCCGAGGAGAGCATGCGGAATATTACGGTAGTTATGATTATTTTCTTGCATTTTCTCAGCTTTTAGTTAAGAAGGATTACGACGTTATCAAGTGCAATGTGTGTAGGATAGACGATGGTTGGCGTCCTCCCTGTTAGGCAGTTGGGGCCGCACAGTGTGAATTCGGCGAAATCAGAAATCCAAATTATGAAAAGACTTCTCGTACACGTCACGGATTCCGTGCGTTTTGATTAATCAGAACGAAGTTCCCTTTAGTTGTATATATGTCTTTCTCTGCATCATATAAGCTCCTCCTCAAATTTCTTCTCTCGCCTGAGGAACAGACTAGATGCTGGGCAATTTGTAAAAATGGCGTCGAACTAAGCGCTTGACTGCACGTAAAGGCCGGCTCATCCTGAATTTCCTGTCATTTGAGGCCCCTCATGTCTGCGCTGTTCGCTACGAACACACCCCAGACTACCAGACAAGATTGGATAATCGTATCTCCAACCCCGAAAACGTTAGTTCGTAGGGCATACTGCGGCTATAAGGACCAGGTCAGCCACGCGTTCACGTGTAGACGGGGTTTATTGCCAGGAAAGGCACTGCTTTCAAGACTGTATACACAGATCTGTAGGTAGTCTTGTTATTAGGACATGATAAATTTGGATCGGAAATGCAGTCTATTTTGCGCCAGTTCTCATCACTATAAGCCGCTTCACCCGAGAGTGCCCATCTCCGGCGAACTGTCAGTGTTAGCAACCTTCACTCGGACCATGACTGTTCCGTGCATGTTTGTTTACTTGGTCTCGTTGCATTTATATCTCATGTCCGTCAGTAATTGGCTTGCACTGCATTTCGTAATCTTACACTTCCCTCTAAGCTCGGTTAACTTCGTGAATGATCTTAGCCAGAGTTTTAAAGCGCTTTATTCACAAGAACAAAAGTGACAGCTTCACCGTATTTTCACGGAAATGCGGACCTATTAGGGGTGCGGGCCATCGATTTTAACAAACAGCCATTGGGAACTGCATTTTCATTTGCTGCTAATTTCAACTAATGAAGGCCATTCCTTCTTAATCGGGATCTAAACGAAAGGGATAAACATTATTGATAGCTCACTAAGGTCAGATAAGGGACCTGCGAGACGGAAAAACTACAAGCTCCTGTTTTGACCATACAGTAAACTGCCAATAGAAGCGAAGAAACGAGTCCCCGGAAAGTGAGGATTCGACACATACATCATGTCGCTACATGGTGTCTGTTTTCTGCTCAATTTCCCGACAACTGGGGAGTCGCAGGAGTAACCCCGAAACCAAGAACTCGTGTCTGACCAGATACCGGACACGTTGAGCTTTCGGTTGAGGCAAACCGATTGAATTTCTGCGAGTGGCACTTACGAAATCACTATCTTATGTGGTTGGGCTTTGAGGTCCGCAAGGCCGATATGCGAAGCCGTTTTCACGACTGGGTGATAAAGACCCTCCAGCATTCTCGAATGAGACATAGCCGGTCAGGACGTCTAGCGGTCCTAACATCCTCAATATTAATTTAACCTCTTTCCTGTCTCAAAGCTTTCTTCACTCCAAACTCTGTTAACTAGTGCACTTGGTTAGTTGCATCCGCTTTACGGCTTTAGAGCTGGTTACCCTAAGGGTCTTATCTCGCCAAAGTCAGAGCCTCTGCTTAGAGGGCAGCCTTATCCATCGCGCCTCGAGCCCGACTTCTGACTGTATAACTATTCTTGCGAGACCCTCTACAAGCACGAAGATGTTTATCAGGGTTCACTCCCTCGCGGCTTATTACCTGGGTGGCCAGTTGGGAACCGCTTACCAATGTTAGTGACAACTCGATGTTATTCGGCGTGCCCTCTCTCCGTTGTAAATATTTCGCGTTTGGACTGAGAGGGTTTCAGACAGACTTGCAGTTCCCAACCATTCTTGAGTAGGCGCCTTTCCAGCGCGGTCAGGTGTCCCGTGTTCCCCAGTATCTAGACTCTCCTCTTCGCACGCCCGCATTTACGTGGACGTGTTTTGTTGGGGCGAGCCACCCTGTAGACGAAAATGTAGGTTCCGTCCCCTAACTAGGTAAAATGTCGTTGATCATCCAGTGGACTACTTCCTAATCCCATTCGGCGCCCTTAGTGGCAGATTTTTGGCCCGGATAAGGCGATGGTGGAACTGTCCCTCATCCCAAAAAGGACTACAAACTTATCGGATCATTTTCATCCTCAAAAAGGTTAACGGACTGTCCTCAGTTTTAGAAACCTCTGCATGGGCGGAACGACTGTTAGTAAATTCACTATGTACGCGGTCTATCGCGTCCGGAACTCTCGCCAATATCGTTTCCCCCGTAAACAGAGACTGCGGTGTCACTTGCGAGTCCGTGGTCGTGTGCAAGAGCCTCCTGATGGCGCTATCTTACGGAGAAGAAACGTGAAATTTCACGCCTGGCAGCGCGGGTCAGAGAATGATGGTGTTACATCGCTTGCATAAGTTACACACTAGTGTAGGCAAATTCTGAGGCAGTACTTCTGCCCGTCGCGGGCGGCGCTTAAGGCGGCTAGGAAGACGGGATGCACATACACCCGGGTGGTAAAATCTACTCAGGACAGTACCATCTCCAGTTTATTTGTCTAAAATTGAACTATCCCAAAATTCGGTTTCATAGACAATAACCTACCACGTTCTCTTTTACGGTGTTTTTTTCACCAAGGACCGTCACCTAATCTCAAATGCTATAATGCCGACGAATTTCAGGGGGTTAGCGCTCTTTGTATACTTATTCGCCTTGATACGGGCACGCACCGGATGAATTCATTCCACCTCCAAACAAAGTTTGGTAGATTTGACTGCTGGCTGAGTGCCACCACCAAACGTAGTGGTCTGCCAAGACCAGCAACACTTCCGATTGCCCATGATCAACGAGCGGTACCGGTGCGGTGAACGGCCGTCCACGTCATTCGGGCCTTTCGCTATACCTGCATGCCTCCGTCAAGTTCCAGAAATTACAGATGGACCATAAAGATATGTGGTTTGTCCTACTTCTGAACCCTGTGCGGTTGAGAGGCCCATCATTGTAGAAACAACAGTGGTGGTTACGGATTTTACTGAGGGAAAGTGTACAAATGGAGCGGATGTTGGCGTTTGAGAACGATGAGTACAGCGGGCTTCCAGATCCGGCAAGGAAGTGGTGACCGTTGTTCCAAAAAAGTTGGACGAGGCTGATACTCCCTCCTAAGCAGCCTATTTCTTCTGCTTTCGTTTCTTTTTATTATCGGATCTCCTCGCCAACTGATAGCTCTGAAGTTTCGGCTCAAACTTCTTTGGAATCTGCCCTTGTTTTTTGATCGAGAATTCAGCAGACTGCGGGGCCGCACTTGCGTGTGTGATCTTTGGCGTCGATGAGGTCGTTTGTGCAGATGGTTTTGCAGACATCGCTACTTTTGCCCGTTTCGGAGCCCGAGATAATGAGCTGTTGAGACGTTCCTGTGCATCATCCTGCTCCTCAGTGGCCTCTGACTCTGAAGCTCGGCGTTTTATGGAGGTTGGCAGTTTTTCATTGCTCTGGATTAGAAAACAGCGCAGGTAGTGAGAGTAGGAGACTGTAAACAATTATAGCCTGGGATTTGTACTACGGCAAGTAGATTCATGTCATGAACTTTGAGCTGTAACATTTGTCAGGAAAGTGTTGGCACAGTCAGCATACAGTGCGAACCAAAATGATTTTTGGGAGACGGGGTCTCCCTTTTAGCTAGCCAAAAATTGCATTAGTGACGCTTTGTGCATCGACGCTCGGTGTCGACTATGTCCCACGGTCAACTGCCTGGACAATTGAACGCGTCCGCAAATCCCCTTGCTGCATGTTTTACCCTTTTAAACCGAGCCAGTGGCGGCAACTTGAAGGGGGTGTTGTGGGATAAAGTCTCCTCGTGCATGACAAAACTGTTTAAAGCCACGTTTTCCCGTCTTGATGTGTTCATGACTTTTCATGAGGTAGTGTGCTTGAGCCGCATCGTCCGAAGACACTGGTTATCGTGAAACAAACGTGGACAAGGGCTGCACATCACTGGTGGGACATGTCACTTTCCGCGACCTAACGCGCACAGTTTGATATACGTGGCCGAATTTCGGCCTTAATAAAAATGAATAGTGTTCCAAACAAGTCATGTCCGAGTTTTTGAAACTTTAAAAGGCCTCGAAACACCTTCACTACTCATTTTGGGGCAATTGAGTTGTAACGGGTTTCAATTGCCTAATTCCATTCTGAGAATGCGGGTGCATTCATCCGACTTACTCGAGTTAAACTGTGTCCACACCAGAGTCTAATACAGCAAGATGGTGACTATGTTAGGTTGGCGTGCTCGAAAGCTCAGGGAGTCTCAAGGTGCCATGCATGATAACGTGCTGACAGCGTGATTCAAAATGAGAAAGATGCATTGAAATCTAAGCTAAAGTGCTTATGATCATGCAAAAGACCTTTGAAATTGAGACCATTTGGCGGACTCCATTTTGAAGAGTGCATGGAGATAACATCTTTTAAGTCCAAAGGTATGCAGCATACTTTTGGTCCAGCACGCCCATTAAAGAAGTGCTCAGAACATTTACATCGGATGTTAGGACTGTCTATTGATTCCAATTGGTAGTGCGAGTTTTGAGATGGCTGGGATCATGAAATGTGGCCACTGACCGTCGAACTTTGCTTTTCGCCTACTCTGGTCCGACACTGATAGCTTAGCAGGATATTAAATGGGCCACAGGCTTCACTGACGATAATACCACACAGCGTCAGCTTACGTCAATACTTGCCACGCCGAGGTCACTGTAGAAGCCAACGCTGTCGTACGCCATAATGCGAATGGCCGCACTGGAATGGCATCTCATGTCCCCTGTTCTTCTAACCAATGGACTCTTTTCAAAACAATGCAAGTTTTGCTGCAGCAGGCGAAGACCTCAAAACCAACTGTTAACTAAGAGACTACTTCCAGACCATGGATTTTATTCGTCTGGCTCTTTGGGTTCACCCTCGAACTCATCATGATACACAGTATTGGACTTGGCTTCTTATGGGCAAATGGGTCTGGATTATGGAATCGTTCAACAGTGCTCATATTTGGGAGACCAGCAGCTCAGGTTTGACTGGGGTTCGCCGAACTTATACTGGCGGGGACCTCGGAACCAGACGGACTTTCCGAATAGCCGCCCGTGAGGGCCAGCAATCACCGCTCTCTCGTCTTTGGACATAATGCGCGGAAGGCAGACAAATGGCATACTCATGCCTGTGTTCGGCGTCCGTATTTGCGAATATTCCGTCCCCATATACTTGCGCAGGTCGGTAAATCAGGCCAGGCCAGCTGAGCAAAGTCAACTGTGAATACGGCGTCCCTGACATGAATTTGGGGTTACAAACACAGTCCTTAGCAGAGTGAGGTGGTTCTTTCCTAACACATTTTTGCCCTCTCGATCTCAGAAATGAACATTTGAACAAATAGACAGCGCAAGTCAAGCAAGACGCTCGTCCGTCGCGAGTGACGAGAACTAGCACCGCTTCGGAGGAAGCAGTGGCGACTTGCGCGTGAACCTGTTTAAAGCGAGGAGAGCTTTCGCAGAACCCATCCCACTTTTCTCGCACCTTTTACGCCCAAACGGCAAAACAGCGTCAAAAAAATTGTGGGTGGACACGAGCAGATAGTTTCAAGAGATAGATACCTGGCGCTTTATGGGAAAGTTCACGCAGATGGGGACGCCCTTCACAAGAGTTTCGTTCAAATTGGTGAACGCCTGCAGTGCGTCCTCCTGTGAGCGGTATGTCAAGAAGCAGAAACTAAAAGAGGATGCAGGAAACCATCTGGGTAGATCGAAAAGGTCGTTCAGCTTGTCAAAGACCGTCTTGTGCAAATTTAGGAGTACAGCAAGTCATAAAGGACTGTGTGGCCGCAGAGCAAAGGCATGTTATCATATCTGAAATAGGGCAGCTTGTTGCTGGTCCGGATGCTAGGGCACTATACCACTGGGGCTCATGGCAGCCGTAGACGCTGGCTTACCCCTTGCAAGTTCCATCAGCCAGCGTAGGAAACTTAACGCCGGAGGCAGTTCTGAAGAGCTGGGCCAGGTCTGTGCGCGTAACTGAGCGTGGTAGCCGGCTGACGTAAATGCACGTTAGGTCGAAGTCCTCGAGCGTGCGTTCATTTTCAGAGCGCCAGGGTTTCCCTCCGGAGGTGACCGCAGGAGTCGCTCCGTCAGCGGTACCTGATAGTATCACCGACTTGCCATCAAGCTGCCTTCCGTTCAAATTTGTCAACGCTCTCTGCGCGTCAAGCTTGCTGCGGAACTCTAGGAACGCGTACCTGTGAAATTTGAGTTTGCAAAGCATCAATGTCAGAGGGATTCAAGCTTGTGTAAAATTCTCCTTAGGAACGGCCGAATAAGCCACTTCCTCAATAGAGTTAAGTGTAGGATGTAAAATAGTGACCTTCAGCCGGACAAACCCAAGAGCTCACTAGCTGGGAGTCACTGCTGATAGTATTTTTCGGCCGCCCCCTTCCTAAGGACATTTATTAGGCTGATTCCTTCTAGGATGGGAAAATTAAAACAAGAATACACATACACAAAGCAGCCGTCCTGAAGGTAAGGCAAGTAAATGAGTAACAAGTAGTCCAGAGTGACCATTCGTGTTGAAAATCTCGAAATAAGAGGTGCCGGCCAGCTTGTGTGTTAGCCAATGTGTTGCTGATTACTTACCTCGTGTGTCGCTCATTATTAAGAGACGAATAACCCAGCTCAGGCAAGAAAACGCAGCAAAACGTCCGTTCAAGTTAGGAGATAGAAGGCCATTTCCGGATGCGAGCAGGCAAATGCCGCGCGGGGCATTGCCGCAAGACGTTGCTGTGCCTTTACATCTACATTCAGTTGTACGTCGCTCTCTCAGAAATAAGCCCTCGTGGAAATTTGTGGCCTCTGGAACTCACCTGCAGCTACTTTTCGCCGGCATTCGGACGGTGAGCGCAGAAGGGCAAAAATCGAGGAGAACGCTGGGAGGACAGTTCTTCGGTACTGGGGAAATGCGAAGGGTCTGGGCATTTTTTTCGACTGAAAAGACAAGGCGGAATTGGCAACTGAGAGTAGTCCAACCTTTGATCTCCAATATCAAACAAGGAAACCAGAACAGAAGGGATTACGAGCCTTTCAGCCATAACTCGTGCACAACAGACGTGTTCTTACCAGTTAGTGCTAGTTTCTAAAAATGGTAAGAGTCGTGGAAGGTCTTGTTTATTTTCGGCAGACCTCAAAGAAAGGTTTGGAGGTGACAAGGCTTTGGAGGCATCTCTCAGTCACCAAGTATGTACTTCAGAAAACACTTTGAGTGAGCTAGATGCGAAAAGCTTATTAACTTCGTTTAATCTTCCAGTTATAGATGGACAGGTTGTATTCTTGTCTTTTGATGAAAGGCTTACGCAGAGGCTGGTCTGGACAAAGACGGCAGCTCTAGTGTGTAAATTAGGAGGCCAACCGACAAATTCCCATCCTGCCTGTTTCCTGACAAAACGTTTCTCACCACGGCCGGTTGGCGAGTAAGGAAAAAATTACGTGGGCAAGGGAATGTGCATCGTAGGGTAGGCATTTGTGCGGCCCAAGGGCACTCTGACTGCAAGGGTCCGGAGTTGTGCAATTATACGACCGCGTATATGTCCACAAAGCTGAATTGGCAGGCTGAGTTGCGCAAGGTCCGCGTCCCAGTAGACATGGTCATCACAGACCTCCATGCTCTTTAATGTCCCTCTGAGTATTTTTTCGTATACGCTAGCCCCAAACAACTTTGTAGGTGAGCTGTATCAAAATGGGAGTCAAGTGGCTCACAGTGCGCGCTAACCATGTAGTTCAGGATCCGTGGGAGTCTACAACCACTGCCTTAACGCCGCGTCAGCCATTGCGCCGAACGCCATCACCAGCTGGTTCACAGGGTCGGGGTCACCCCCGTCTGTGGGGACCAGACTGTGTGCGGCACGGACAAACGGACTATTCAGCTTTGCCAGCTACTGCACCTCAGTCCACATCCGGCCATCTTGACATTGTCTTGTCATCGGATCAGGTTGGTGAGGAAAGTTGGTGCAGTGGATGCTGCGCAGGCCCGTCCCACCATCATTGACTCATGCGCAAGCCACTATTCTGCGCCCATTCCGTGGTATACACGGTAGACATAGTCGTCGTCTGCGACGGTCGAACTATCAGGTAATCCAGATGGGTGCGGAAATAATAAGATGCAGGTGTGGCACAAATATGCTCCCCTATAAACAAATTCATGCCCATGGAGCAGTGGGGAATTTTGCCGGTTACGACAGCTGATAGCTTTGCGTGTCACACTCGGAAGAAGAGGACTATATGCATCTGCCGGTTCTTTGGAATGCGCCTTGATGCAACTGGGCGGGATCCATTTGGAGATGTGTGAAGCCCACTTTAGGCACGGAGTCGATATAAAAATGCTTGAATAGGAGGGGGTGAGAGGTGCAAGCAGTCTTGAAGGTTTTATTTGAGGGCAGCAGAAAACGCCGAGGACAATTTGGCATTCTACAAAAAGATGCAGTAGGGGTTGTGAACCGCTGACGTGAGACTATTCAGAGGGGTGGTTTATGTGTAACCCTTCTCTGTCGAAAGAAGTTGGTCGCTGATCAAGAGTGACGCTTCGTATGTTTTTAAGTTGTAAGCATTAGTCAGTTAACCCACTAGAGTCCGCCAAATGGTCTCCGGAGCCAATAAAAGATTTGAAAGAGGAGAGTTGGCCCGAGGGTTGAAACTTAGGGGGATGATGAATTTGAAAACACACTCCATGGATTCCTCCTAAAGTCTAAGAAGCTGACGTGCCTTAATGGGATAACTGGGTGGAAATGACGCTGGAGCACGTTTCGACTCGATGACGATGGTGGTGGTGGTGGTGGTGGTGGTGGTGGTGGTGGTGGTGGTGGTGGTGGTGGTGGTCAGAGTACAGGTTTTCTCTACAGGATGACTATGTCATTGGGTCTAGGCTACGTTTGCCGAGGGCCCAGTCAACGATAACTAGATGTTGTCCGTACTGATTTGCAATGCCATGAAGTTTGAAGCAGGGAAAATCAGCTCTTTTGAGAGCTGATGAGAATGCGAGTACTGGCAGCAAGATTACTTACCAAGGCGGCGTCTAATTTCGGTAAGGAGGGCATCAGAATCGGAAAACTTTCCTCGGTCGGCAACAGGTGTGGGCGGGATTATGGTGGCCGGCAATCGAGGCTCCTAGAAAAAATCGAAAATTTAAGCTCTTTGCCATAAACAAAGGACAACAGTTTCTGCGGTCAGCCTTCCATAATATGTACAGAAATGCTGGCGCAGGAACCGATTGCGATTCGCGAAACAATTAAAATATCGGCGCGAGTACAAGATCCACTACACAGACCAGCGCTAACATAATTAACGGAACCAGATCGAACGTTGAATCAGCATGCTTTAGGCCTTAACTTGCCCAAAAAACTATCATATCACGAAGGGAATCAATAAAATGACCGTGATGATTTGATCGCAAAACAACTCACGAGAACCGGCTTCTGGGGTCGATTTGCTTTTTCAGCCCTCTTCAGAGCCCTGGCCTCCTTCCTCTTTAGGTTTCGCTTCTTTGCCTTCGAAAGCTCCTGAAGGATAAAATTAAGTAAGATTGGAACTAAGAGTGCCTTGCACGCTGGGCGAGAAAAGGACGCAGTGAGGTCAGTTTGGGTCAAAACGTACCATTGTAGGTCCTGGGATTGTGGTTTTGTCCCTACTTTCATTGGCTTCAGCCAGCATCTTTTTCTTGTTAAGAATCATGTGAGGCTGAAACGGAACAAGTACAGAGTAAAATGAGACTATGAAGAATGGAGGGCAATTGTACGAGTATTCATTACTGATAAGGAGAAACATTCACAGTTGCGCATGCGTTTTACAGCGTGCGTATGGCTAGCCATACAAGTGAACTGAGAGCTAAAATCGGTGACAGTTAAACCTTAGCACAGGGGGCAGTTAGGACTTTCAGTAATAAGAATATAACACAACTGTCCAAACATGCCGACATGCGGTCAGGCCTTGTATGTCTAACTGGCTTCCTGATCTTGAAGGCCTTACCGAAGTTTCTAGTGAACCGAACATCCCAAGTACTTAGGATTCGATGTGGGACTTGCCTTTTTGAATTTTTTCAATGGTAAAATACATCATTTGATACCCCCTCAGAACCCTCTCATGAAATCCAACACGCTGAAAAACAAATAATCGACTCGGTAGACCAGTTCAGCGTCCTGTTTTGGCCTTTTAATCCCTACCTCAACGACTACAATTTAGCTTTCATTGTTCTACTCAGTAGCGTAACTGCACAACTTCCTAATTAATAACTTTAACCACAATCCAACAAATGTGTGCTTTTGGCTACTTTTGACAGTTTGAAAGGAAAACTTGAGTGCTTAGATTGAAGCAAATGCTCTTACTATGACTACAATATCTAATACGACCAGTACCTCTTCGTCGCATTACGGGCCAGTCAGTGTATATTTTGAAAGAATAACATCCCCACGAATATGATCGAAAGAAGAAATCCTCAGGAAGCGGAAAATTCACCGTTACATTGTGCACAGGAGCCTAGTCCATCTCCAAGTATACCTGAGGTATCTAGAGTCCATTCCTAACAACTATCTATTTGCCATCTCAACGAAACTGACCAACGACGGTTGGACCGTCGCAAGCGACGACAACCACCGTGTGCATGAAGAGCGAGGGGACGGTGACTTGCACAGCCACTACCTCCCCTTTACCCACCCAAGTCCGGTATCAAGACAGTCAGGAAAACTGGAGGCAGGATCGGGCGCAATGGTCGACAGAACCAAACGGTCCGCGTACGCGTGCCACACACGCTTGGTCCGCGCACGATGGACCAGGTTTACAGAGAAACAAGAAATGATCGGTTCGGATCCCATCTGAGCAGGGGCGCCATAGTAGCTGGAGAAATGGGACACGAACACGGGCGCAGTAACAAGCCAGTGCAGACGTAGGCAGCAGTCGTCAGCAAGCGATGGAGCCGCAAGCAGACCACCGCCTGCCAGGCAGGAGCAGGTCTTAGCAAATAAAGGCGGGGAAAATCGAAAAGGCAGCTATTATCGACTTATTCATCTTTAATACAGTCGCACTCACGACTGAGATCTGCGGTCAGGCGTAAAAAGCGCACACACGGCGTGGTGATGCATAAGTGCGGTGTAACCGATTGGCCGACAGCATCAGTAGCCGAAGATCCAATAGGTCCGGCCTCCTACATCAAACCTAATTTTTAACTCTAATCAGCGGACGTCACCCCACGGACCTAATCGGCATCCACTAGCAGTAGGTGTGCATAAACAAGCATTTGCAATGATTGTTACGGGTGAATTTTAACATGAGTAATATGATCATTTCAAAAATACTAGACGCGACTGAGTGGAACAGTTTATACAGCAATGATTTTTCACCTCGGCTATACCTTGACAAATGTGTGTGCGGAATGAAAGTGAGCGGTATGCGGGGCGATAACGAAGTTAAATAACAATTAAACGGTTAGCGGGGACCGTCTTCCAGTATAAATCTACAAATGGTGACTCCCGGCTTGGATAGTACCCACAGACTGCAGCGTCACCTCCGTAAGGCCGATCTGTAGAAAATGAGAAATCGGTGTGTGGGGACAGGAGTGATGTAAGCCTCCTTCCCACTGTCCATACGGCTTTAATAGTAAGCCTCATCAACGACGAACAGTCGCAAGAAGCCATGCGGCTTTCGCTTGGGGGGGGGATGTACTGATCGACACTTGTCGCTTCGCCGGACCGCCACCGCTACTAACAGGCCACCCTCGTCCATTTCGTGGACTTTGTCCCTATATTTCAATCCAGCCAGAAGGATTGCGTGAGCGAACGTACTGCTCGACGGAATGCCATCGAATTTTTTTCAGTCGACTCAAGCATAATAGCATAAAACTAAAACTAAAGTTTTGTAAATAGCGATAAAAGTGACGTCTTTGATGCCAATGCCAGTACTAGCGAGGGCTGCTTTATTTCACAAACTCTGCTTATTCAATTATGTTATGTCATTAATTGTAAATCTTGACTACGTTGATGACGATACGCTGCCAGTGAGTTCCTTTAAAGGGGTGCTACATGCTGCCCGAGATAAGAACAAAGGGGTCGAACGTGGGTTTGAGGATGAATTCTCCCAAAACGGGGATAATCAGCTCAGCTTTTAGCGTCCAAGTTATTTGCTAGGTCGCGGAAGACGAAAAGGATCTTGAGCTAAGATAAACTCCTATTACAGGCAGAATGACATTACTGACAAAGATGAGGGAGGCTGGCTTATCAGACGTCACCAGCCGGTTATATCCAACCCCACACCTTCCAACCTATGACTCGTTGGTTAGAATTTCGACGCTCCATCCTACCGGCCACTGCACAATCACACGCGAGTCAATGTGTCTAGCCGAAATGAACAAGCTGCGCGTCATGCTGAGCGATGGCCAATCCTAAGGCGGTGAGCACAGGCTATGAGCAAGAACACATCTCCAGCGTGCCTCGTCACTTTCACGAACGCACGATCACGTTGCCAGAGTTTACAGACACAATATCCGAGCGTAAATGTGCGCGCAAGTCAAGCCTTAGCCCAACTGGTGTTAATGCCAATTGCATGGGTTAATTCAGGTTCAGTCGCATAGCTGTTTACGCAAAGCGGCAGAGCAACCTGCTAGTCGGTCTGGTTATGAGAGATAGCGGTCAAAGGAAACGTCGACCAGCCTGATTTATGAAAGCAGACATTGCCCGTATCCTATTGTGGTGGGTGCATGGCTGACCTACGACATCGATTGCGTTGAATGTTCACGTACAATCATATTTGCGCTTTCACCGATTTTGTCTCTTAATGTTAAATGAGGAGTGAAAGGATTGGCGGGATGTGCGCACACAAACACACGAGTAAATGGGTCTAGCAACTGCAATAAATGCACGAATGAAGTAGATTTCCTCGATGTTATCAGATATATATTTGAAGGCTAAATCGGACTACAGTATTACGTTCGATGATAACCAAATATACGCCGATTATGCATGAAACATTAATACCCTCACGTTCTGCAGAAATTATATTTCGTTAAAGGAGGCGCTGAACGATGGTCTCAACCAGTGCACACAGAATGGGTACCAGTTTTTCTCCCGAGAAAAGAGGTCGGTGCAATCCAAGCGTCATAGTCTTATTCTGAATTGTTCTAGCGGCCTAAGCAGACAATCTTCTCTTTTCGCACCACCAAATGTAGCTTTATTTGTGCTAGTACTACCAACAGAAACAAATTTTGTATCGCCGTTCCCATATGCCATGACGGAAACCCGGGCAACTCATGGTACACTTAGTCTTATTGGATAATTTCAAATATACCTACGTTATTAACTGTCTAATTAAAAGATGGCTGTCGCTGGCGCGGCCACTAAAAAGCCTTCAGAACAGTTGTCATCAAAGAATTATAATCTAAATTCGTATATGCTGAGGCAGCTTCCGCATCTTCCTTGACCCGGCACTGAGCTTTATGAGTATTTTGTATGGAGATAAAAATCAGATTAAACATATTAATAACGCTGATTGCCCTTCAAAAGTGGACACACTACAAAATCATAAAGGAAATTAAATACACGCTGTTGCGTTTCGATGGAAAACTCGACAAATCTGACGCAACAATCGGGAAACGCTTGAAAGCGAAAGAGACCTGTAGGAAACTCTCGTACTGATATCTGGGCTCGTTACAGACCCACGTTGCCGGACTGTGAATAATTGAGCTAACGCACGTGCTACTTAGACCATCCGGGTTCAGGGCAAAATTTTACTCCGTATCCCGGCAACAACTCACAGTATTCGTTACTTGCATATTGGCTTGCAAAAATTAGCTGTGGACGGAACGCATCATAGTCAGTGAGACATGTCGTGGAAATATGGAGGGGGAAAATAAGCATGTAATGGTCTACACCGGCAAAATGCGTGAAGAGGTCGATGGGAGCTAGCAACGTAACAAGCAGAACATGCGGTTGTGCAAAATATGGATGCAAGCCAGATGTCAGACAAAACAGAAAAACAGTGGAAAGACAAGTTGCAATGTCAAAAAGGGGTTAAATAAACAGGGGAGGCGATAAATTGACAAAAGACTGGAAGAAAGAATACCCTTGAAAACAAGCACCATATCAGACTATGGTCTGGACTCGGTGAGTGACGTATCAACAAATAGATAGTCTAGTTTTTGCATATCCACGATCACCGAGAAATGCGATGACGTACTGTTTTCCAATCTTTATTGCCGGGAAGCCCGTGATGAGTTCGTTGATTTGGGCTGGTTGGGTTGGCAATTTTCCATCAACGTTTTTTGACGATGTCTAAGAATGTCGTATTACTTGGACTCATAGTTCCTCTCTTAGATCATTACAGATCGGAAATAGGCTTGTTAACCTTTTATATATGCGAATGGGACCGTCAAGGAGCTCGGTATGGTATCCACGTAAAGATCGTAGTGGGTCGCTCTGCCTGTTTCGCGCAGGCGTTGACTGCACCTGGAGCTCAGCAGTTAGAACCCAACTCTCCCATTTTGCTCCTCGAGGCAAGGATCTCTCTTACGGCCACATTTCAGTAATCACCTCTGCCGGCAGGATACAACTGTGAGACTGTCCAATATTATGTTTATCCGCACACATGGGAACTCTGCTCTCCTTCCAATCCCCTCTATCCTCTCCCCTACTTCAAAGCAGTCCTATAGGGAGGACGACATGAAATCTCGTAGGCGGCCATGGCTAACTCGAGCTAATCGTCCATGGTGGTCGGCGATGGCCTTAATCTTTCGGAGCACGGCGCCCTGATAGTCTCCAAAGCACGCAGAATGGCCAGGTTTATCCTCCGAAATTTCGAAACTAGGGTTATTAGAGTGCGTCTTTACAAGATGGACGTCAGACCTTGCCTGGAATATTGTGCGTTTTTATTTAGCCTCATGTGCCATGCGTGCTGCCCTGCGCAAGAAAATAGAGTCCAACCAGTATTTTTTGCCAGGAAAGATTTGATCTTGAACCGCCAACACGGGGCTTACCAGGAACGGTGCGAGCTTACAGGCCTTGATCTCTCGTGGTCTCTTTGGTTACAAAGGGACCATTTTTGCTGTTTAAGTTCTTAAACAATCGCACTGTTAACCCACTAACCACTTTAAAACCTCTCCATCACCTCTGACTTAATAGTCACCGTAAGATCTTTTAAGTTCTTCATCTTCTTGTGACATGCTACATTAAGTATCGTCGTTTCTTTCCTGTGAACACAATTGCAATTTGGAGCCAACCTTCCAAGAGTGCAAAAATTCTGCAAAATTATTCTTCGTTTAAGAGAACCATTACTCGTTTTTGGCATTCTGAAAAACCCCATGTGAAGGTGCCCATTCCACCGATTTAATCTACCGTAGTGATGGAGTTCGCGGTGTTTGATCCCCTGCCCGTTCTCACCACGGTCAGCATTTTCAGCCGCCAGCGAACAGCGGTTTTTCAACGTCTCTGTTTGGATAAGTACCAAGTTCGTGTGAATAAATTGAGACTGAAAAGATCCGAAACAGTGTTATTCATCCCTTTCTGGACTGACGTCATTTTATACGCAGCAGATTTTTTCTCCTGAACCATCAAACTATAAGAACACCGTCTTCAGTATTCATTTATGGGGAGTTTTTTCACTGTTAGTCCGATCCGGACTTAATATTTCCCTGACGGCGCCTGTAAACTGGCATTAAACACTATTATTATTAAACAAAGCGGTGACCCATACTGGAGTGCGGCAGTCCTCTGTGGCGTTTCTTGTTTAGGGACGGCACTGTTTGCCCCCGCTCGGAGGAAGATACAAAAGAAGGTACTTCAGACAGATGCTGGTATCACGTCCTCTGCACGTTAGCTTTGGCTCGCAAATGCAAAACTTGTGTTTGAAACATTCAAAGAAATAACAACAGAATCCATTCCCCAGTTCCATCTTTTTACATATCCTATGGCTGCTACAGTGGGTGCGCTCAGACTGGCAACCTGGAAAGTCCGTACTTTTTAGAAAATCTGAGGAGCCGTAGGCTGATATGGAGGACGGCGCTAGTCACTCGTGAACTGGTGCGCGACTAGTGGAAGTCGCTGCTCTCAGCGAGACCCGTTTTCCAAACAAGGCCAACTGGAGGAGGTAGGTACTGTTAGCACATTCTCCTGGGACGGCTACCCAAAGGAAGGGCGACGCGCTACTGGTGTTGACTTTGCCTTCCGGAACAACATCATGGAACGACTTCCCTGACTTTCACAGGGTGTCGACAAACGCCGGATGATTCTCCACCTGTACTCCAGAGGGGGGCAAATTCACCACCCACGTCAGCATCTACGCCCTCCTAGAAACCAGGTCTGGCGAGGCAAAGCTTAAGTTCCACGAAGGCCTACACGTCATTCTGGCGTCTGTGCTGTGGGTGGACAAAGTGGTTGCCCCTGACGACTTCATTGTCCGCGTCAGGACAGACCGTGCTGCTGGAAGGGAATGCTGAGTTCCACGCAATCGCCGGCTGCGACGACACAGGAATAATTCTACGAACCTGCGTAAAACACCGCTCCCTACTAGTCAACACTTTTTCCGCCTACCGGCGCGAAAGCAGGCGGTCTGGACGCACCTCCTGTGGAGACGAGATCGACAAGACGTGCTGGTGACTAAAGCGACCCTCAAAGTCAATTGCTGGACCGACAAGCCTTTCGTTATCTCCAAGATGAGGCTCTGACCGTTACCTCACCCCCTCGAAGAGGCCACAAGATAAGCGACCACCAGGTTACCAAATACTCTTTTGTTGAATCTGCCTGCTCATTGCCTCCATTTCTACAGTTATTCATCCCAGCATCTGGAGGGATTGTCTGCCAAGAACGACAGCGGCACTGTGAAGATTCGGTGAAGTCGCTTGTGGGCTGACACCCACACGACAAGCTTCTGTGAGCAGACGCAAACCGATTCTTTCGATGTCTTATATGTGTTCCTCAGGAAGCCTCGTTACGATGCCCCTAAGACTTCTTGGATAACAGAATTCACCCGTCCAAATTGTGGGGCCTCGCATGACTCCGGTACAACAACGACTGACGGAGATGCAGGACGCCTGGATGAGACACAAAATCCAAAAAAATCCAGGTGCACGTCGATCGCAATTAAACCAAGAACGTCTTTGCCTCACTGAAGACGACTTGAGGACTCCAACTAAAGGAACCGCACCATTTCTCTACTCCAATTGAACCGTGTCTATGACGGAGCAATCGCAGACTCCAAAGAACTGGACCGAGCAATCCAGAAGTGTCCTCAACCATCCCTCTGCAATCTCCAACGCCGCTATCGACCAACTACTCCAAGTGGACATGAATGATGTTCCTGCTCTACGCTTTCTCTTCCAAAAACAATCCATGCGTGCGCCGACTGCCCAGCGACACAGTTCCGGGGCCTGACGCGATTGCGTCCGAAGTCAGCAATCACAGCGGCCACAAGTTCATGTTATATCTCAACGCTATTCTAGGAGATGTGGCTCTGAGGACAAGTTCCTCAGGATTCCAACGAGGGGACCACCGTACATATATCTGCACAAGCAGAATGGGAGCCGGCAGCTCTGTGATGACTGCAGCGGAATCTTACTGCTCGATATTGCCGAAAGAATATTCACTCGCATCCTCCACGATCGTCTCAATGGGCATTTCGAACGAGGACTACTCCCGGAAAGCCAGTGTGGCTATCGTCGTCATTGTGGAACTGTTGACATGGTCTTCACTGTCTGCCAGCTGCGAGAGAAATGCAAGGATATGCGGACCCATCTATACACTAATTACGTGGATTTGACGAAAACGTTAGACACGGTGAATCGTGAAGTATTGTGTAAAAGCATGCAGAAATTTGGCTGTCATCAGAGATTTATGCATATGGTACATCATGCACAATGGAACCTTTACTGAAGCAGCTACAGTAACCAATCCAATCCTCTTCAGTCTCATATTTTCCGCCATGCTGATAGATGTCCATCGTGATGGGCGTCCCGAGATCCGCATCGCCTACAGGACTGCCGGGCATCTTCTCGACCGTAGGAACACGCAGGCCTCATGGCGTCTCTCCGTGATACGCAATTTGCGGAAGACTGCTCACTCAATATTATGTCAGAAGTTGGCTTGCGACGAACGATGGATCACTTCGCCGCCGGTTGTGCCGAATTCGTGCTGACCAGCAACACAGCCAGAACGCTGATAACGTGCCAACCATCATCGAAGGATTCACACAGTGTTCCTCGCATCCACATTAACACCGCCTGAATGAGGACAGTTAAAAACTTCGCCGACATAAGCAGCACACTTTTACGCTGCATCAAAATCGATGATGAAATGGCTCATCGGATCTCCAAAGCCAGCCAGGCCTTTTGTGGGCTGCACAACTCCGTATGGAATCACCGATGCACTACCTGGACACTTAGCTAAAGATGTACATAGCTGTCACCTTGATGACACTACTGTATGGAGTGGAGAACTGGACAGTCTATAAGAGACAAGCGCGGAAGTTGAATTTCTTCCATCTCAGTTGTCTGTGAGGAGTACTAAGTCTGAAGTGACAGGACAGGATCCCAGCACGGAAAAATTTGGAACGGATTAGGATACTTGGCACCCACGACATACTGGGGCATTTGATATAACGACTGAATGGCCACCTCGTGAAGACAAGCGATGATTGTCTATTAAATCATCTCTCCCACGGAGATGTCATTACCGGTGCTTGCTGACAATGAAGCAAATATCGCCACTACAAGGGCACTCTGAAGAACTCCTTGAAGCGGCTACTAATCGACCCGAAGACTTGGGAAGACTCCACGCAAAACAGACTGACAGGGTAAAGATAGGCGAAGATTGAAGCAGACATATTTTAAGGCCAGCGAATAGCCACTGTTAAAGCCAGACGCGTCTGGACGGCCAATTCTACGTTCAAATCCACTCAACGTGCATGCACTGTCGATGGAGATTACGCGTGCAGCAGGGTCTCATTGGAAATTTCGGGCTCGATGCCAGACAACCGCATTTACTGCCTACCTAGGCTGCATCTTCTCCGACATTCACAACGTCGCCCACCCTAATAATTGCTGTTCTGAATCAACACGCCCCATCGCCGTCGGGCACTGCCATCTCCATAAACGCCGCCATAATTTTCGCATGCTCAGGGGTGGGAGATAAAGCATTCGAAGGCAAGCTGATAGACAAGCCAATAGGCCAAGCCGCTTTAAGCGGACGCTTAGAATAAGACCGAGCATGACTGATTGCCGATATGAAAAATGGGTATGATACCAGTGTTGCAACACTCCTGGTTGATGACTTTCGACCAATAAACACCCTCCCCGCAGTTTCAAAAATCTTACAGACACTGATCAAAGATAAGATGATGATTTCCAATGCTATCTCTAATCCCCACATGGCTGAGGAATGGAGTCATTCAGTGTAGCGTACTAGTCCGCTTTTGTCTTGCCTTTTTGTTATCGACGTACCAGATTTACTTCAGAATGGTAAGCCCTTCATGTATGCCAATTATCTGAAAGTTGCATACAGGCAGATTGTGACATCGTGCTTGAGCTTCTAAAGGGCGACCTACAGGCCTTTGTCCAGTGGTGCCGTACATGTCGCCTTTTTCTCTCTTGGCATAAATTATCAGTCATGGTGGTTGGCGACAACCACCAACCTCAGTTAAATATTGACGGTCACGACATAAATGTGCTGGAAGTTATAAAGGGTCTGGGTATATCACACACCAAGAGTCTTTATACTTCCGAATACTGCGCTCTGATGGCCGCCAAAGTACGTAGGACGACCGGGTCTATACTTCAAAACTGTAAAACCAGCGACATTAGAATGTGCCTTTAAAGGATGTACGTAAGACCTGCCCTGAAATACCGTTCGTATTTATTTAGCCTAATGCGTGTCGCTGGGCGGAAAAAAAGAATCCAGTCTCCCTTGTCTTTGTCGGTAATATCATTCTGCCTATATCATGCGCCGCTGTGCGGCTGCTGGCTGGGCTCGAGAGAGAGAGTTCATAAGGCACAACAGAACGAGTGAGTTCCGTAAGAACGATCAATGAGCGCCCCCCAACCATTCCAAAATAGAATCCGTCCAACACTTCTTTACCAAGAGAGTTTTGATCTTGGACCGCCAATACTTGACCTACTGGGAACGTTGCAAGCTCACAGGTCTTGGTCATTTGTGGTTTCGTGGATTACAAAAGAGACTATTTTTGTTATTTGAGTTTTTGTGTAATCGTATCCTTAACCCACTCACTACTTTAAGACATGTTGTCCACCCCCGACTTAACAGCCACTGTGAGGTCTTTTTATTTTGTCTCCTGGCACGAACCGTTAAATATCGTCGGTTCTTTTCTGTGAAAACAGTTGCTATTTGGAATAATTTACCCAGTAATGTGAAAATTCTGCAAAATTTGTTTGTTTAAGTAAACTATTTAAGTAAACTATTATTGCATTCATAAAAACTCCCACAAACTTTGGGTGCTGAATGCACCGATCGAAAGTATCGTAGTGTTGGCGTTCGTGATTCATGAGCCTCATCGCCGGTCGCACCAGAGACAATTTTTTTAGCCAAGAGCGACAACTGTTCTTCAGTGCTTCTGCTTGGTCCAGTCCCAACTTCATGAAAAGAAATGGCGACTGAAAATATCCGATGCAGTGCAAACCCTTCCTTTCTTGTCTGTCGTCATTTCATGGGCAGCAGTTTTTTTTTCTCCCGAGTCCTCCAAACCATACAAATCCACCATCCTCTTTATTTTTCTGTCAGAAGTTTTTTTCACGGCTGGTCGGATTTGTGTTTAATCTTTCGCTGACAATGCGTGTAGACAGGCCTTAAATGCAGTTATTAATATTATTATTAACACCAGAGTCTGAAGCCAGAACATCTTAGACCACAGGGGTCTGGCATTAAGAACGAAAATTTTAGGAGGACAGACTGTTTGTTTTAAGAGCAGATGAGTTAATTAATTCCGATGCTTTGTTGTCTGTAGATGATAGGGATCGAAAGCACCTGTTCACTTTCTGCTGTCGCATCGAAAGCGGACAATATTAACAGTGAGAAGTAGTGGTAAACGACGGCGGGGAAAATGATCACTACCATTAGCTAACCGATTCTTTGCGGAAAATCCACGAGCAGGACGGTGCAACATTTTCCCCTCATGGTGATACTGAGGACCGGATGGTTTTACTGATACAGAATGAAAGTTTTCATGAGGAATACCCGGATAAAACGACTACGGAGGGGACATGTATTTGGGTCGGCGAGGGACTGAAGTTCTTCTGTTGGGGTGAAATATTCAAATATAGACGGAGCAATTGACACTTTCGGGTTAACTGCTTTGATATGAGGTCTAGGAGGTAGTTAAAAGTGTACTGTGCTAAAAGGCCTAAATACCAGAAAGGCTTGACTAACATAAGGAATTACTATTGTTATGACAAGGTGAGGCAGAAAATGACGATTAATAAGAATTATTCAAAAGGACAATAGGTGCCGTTATGTCGATGTCACTCGAAATTTTCAAATTGTTTAATCTTCCTGCATTGGTGGGAAGTCCGGGAAATCCGAACAATGACATTTACGCCAGAATCCCTTTTATCTCCCTCCTCTAGAGGAAAAAGTATGTTTATATCAAGGAGCAGAGAGTAACTAGTCCCAGGTCATTACGACTGAAAGAGAGAAAACGTTTAGTCTGACCAATATTGGAACCGATACCATAACTTTTAAGAAACAAATATACACAGTCTGCTGTATCAGATACGTGATTGAGAAGATTACGAGTGCTGAATTATGCCTGGATTTTATCTTCCCCTCAATTTTGGAGGTTATTAAACCAATGACTTTAAATGCCTATACAATAACTCCCTCGAAAGTACTACATATATCGCCATACGTCATACGATCTAGTATTTCGTCAGACGGTGTTCTGTTGCCACTATCAAAGGCGTATTTTGAGCGATCAAAGCGTCAAGAAGTTCAATATGGTCTAGTAAGATTGTTCATTTAGAAGATGAAGATGCGATAACTGGGACAAGAAGTTTATTTGCCTGACGTTTCGGATTCTCACTCGAATCCATCATCAGGGACATTCGCAGATAGAGGCGAAGGTGACACCAGGAGTGCAGTATTTATAGCACGTAGCTGCCGTGGGACAGTATGCGCACTGGAATTAAGAGTTCTCACAATCGCCGCTGGGGTCGTAATTGATGCGGCGGTGGCTTGGCGGTCCGAGTCCGAGTTGTTAATTGCCGCGATTTCGTCATCCGTGCTCGATGCTGGTGTGACGATTGCTCGGCAAACTGGCTCACTGTCACCGTGATAATTGCTCACCCGCGCCCTCCCCACGTGACTGATTCTCCTGCCCAGGGAAAATCGCAATACGGAATAGGGCACAGGGAGGTCATTGTGTTTGTTGATGGATTGCGGGCCTGAGAACCATGACTCAAGCAGCTCGCGGCTCACGCGGTTGTCACCCCTTGCGAGGATTTCGGCCTCTTGAAATTTGAAAATATGGCCGGGTCCCGTCGAGTGTGCCGCCACCTGAGAGTTAGCGTCTCCCCGCCTCACTGATGCTGCGTGCTCGGCAAGTCGCGTACGGAGTAATCTCCCAGTTTCTCCGACATAATTGCTTTGTCCGCAACTACACCAGATCCGGTAAACGACTCCAGACGTTTCCTGCCGTGGCAGCGGGTCTTTTGGCCTCATTACTTGGCGCCTAATGGTTGCTTCCGTCCTGTGTGCAACCCCAACTCCAAGTGGAGTGAGAAGACGACTGACGGCTTCCGAGACGTTCTTCACGTACGGAAGAGCCCGCCAAAATTTGGGGCTAGTTGGATTGGGTCTCTGGTGTCCTTTTCGTATAGTTGACAAAGTTGCGCGGATAGCCATTGGCTCTCATTACCCGTCGAAGATATTGTAATTCAGCAACCTTGTCTTCCATTTCACTGCAGTGCGTCTCAACACGCCGGTATAGCGCCCTTACGCAACTGCGTTTGTGACTGATCGGGTGGTTGCTATTGAAGTTCAGTATTTGCGTCGTATTTGTCGCTTTCCTGAACACTTTGGTTTTTAGGTCACCACAATCTTTGCGGCAGACGAGGACATCCAGGTAGGCCAGCTGATTGTTTTCCTCCTCCTCCATCGTAAATTGAATGTCCGGGAAGACGGCGTTGAGTTGTTCTTTGAAAGTCAGCACCTGACCCCGTTCGATGACGACGAAGGTGTCATCCACATACCGAGCCCAGAATTTCGGTCTGTGGTGTCGGAAAACCAGCGACTCCAGCCGTTGAAGGACCGCCTCGGCTATGAGTCCCGAAATCGGCGAACCCATTGGCGTTCCCTTCACCTGCTCGTAGATTGTTCCGTCGAATGTAAAGTACGTCTTGAGACAGAACTTCAGAAGCTGGATGATTTGGGCGTGTCCGAGGCGATTCTCCGTTTCGTCGTACTTCTCTCGTAGGAGTAGTTCGATTGTCTCGACTGCCAGGTCCTGCGGGATAGAAGTAAAAAGGGACGTGACATCAAAGGAAACCATGATATCACTTGGCAGGAGACTTACTCCTTTAAGTTTCTCCAAGAATTGCGTTGACGAGCTGACTGTGGTGTTCGAATCGGAGGTCAGAAACTTGAGACGTTGGAACAGCCACTTTGCCAGTCCGTAGGTTGGAGTGCCCTTTAGTGATGCGATAGGCCGGAGAGGAGCGCCCTTTTTGTTCATTTAATCATGCCTCAAGAATGCTGCGAAGACACGCTGTCACTCACTGTCTTCGGCCATGATTCTAGTACTCAGAGATGGCGGGGAGGCTGTGAGGTTTGGTCTCTTAGCGAATTTCTTTCAGGATATTGCAAGATACTGGAAGAATATTCTTTTCTGTGCAAAGATCAAAATGCGTTAATTTGCAAAACTGCGCACACAGTTGCAAATACTACTGTCTAGTTGCTGCAATAAATAGGAGGAGACGGTGCGGCACGGCTCCTATGAACAAATGCTGCATAAGATGCAGCTAACTTATCAGACTGTTTAATGAGACAAACATAAATTATATGCAGAGAAAAGAAGCAATTATTAAGATTAAGCATTTATAGCCTAGGAAAACCGAAGAAAATACAAAGGCACACTTTTCTTTGATAGTAAATTGCAATTCAGAAGGGCATGCCTAAATTAACAATTTTAACTATCCCAACACATGTTTTCTCTTCACACTGCATTAAACGTCAAGTTCCTCCCTGACGTTCACACATAAGCCGAGTGTTTCAATAAATTAACTTTGGCACTTTTGCTGGTTTCATCACTTGCCTCCGTAAACTGCGTGCCTTCCGTGCTTTTATTATTTCATTTGACAGTTACTTAGCTGGTGTCTAATATCACTACACAGTTAACGCATGTTCTCAATGTGGAGGCTGGAACGAAATACGATATCGCAAACATGGTCCTGTATAAATAGTCCCTCTTCGTTAATTTTCCTGCCCAGCTGATAACCAATGTGGAAAGGATTGGTAGTGTGGATCCTCACCCTACATAGAACACCCTGTAGAAACAATCCTGCAAGTAAAAAACTTTTTTTTCGGAGGAATGTCATAGTCGGAGACCCTTGCTGAAATTCCAGCCTTAACCTCATTGAGAGGACGTAAATATGTGCGCATTTCGTTTTTTTTGATCTGACTCTAAGTCAATTATAGAGATGTTAGTTAAAAAGTATGTTAATAGATAGGGCAATAGGCTTCCAACGTCTTTTTTATAAAGTTACTTGAATATTCAATTTACTGTTTGGCACGCTATCTACATTCGCAACTTTAATCCGTTTTAAGTCATCGGTAAATGTTCCAATGAATCGCTCAAGTTGTATATCTTGTAATTTCTCACGGAAAGCACCGAAATACTCAGGGGACTGTGGACTGGAGAATACGCTCTACGCATTTTCTACAAACTCATTGTGCAACTTTTAGTGTACGCGGATTGGACGATATTTGCACGTTGATTGGACGCTTCAAGGTTTGATTGCCTTGCTAGGCGGCTGGCGCATGGCCGGGGTATGTTTGGCATTTCTCTTGGTGTTTGTCTGTCTCTTAACTTCTTTTGTCTTTAAAAATCATAATAAATATAGAAAAATGCCTGTTTCACATGCTGATCTGACTTATTTTCCGATCAAGCGCTGTTTCATGGGGTCCATCACGGCAAAATCCCGTCTGCCCTAGTAGCAAACTATATCGAGACGATATCTATTAGATATCTATTTTCCGAGATACTTATATCTATTAGATATCGATTTTGTCCGCGATCCAGATATCGAGTAGATATCAATTTTTCGAGATACTCCGAAATCGGCGATAGGGACACATCAGGCCATGCGCAAGCTGCGGCTACTTGTTCTTATACCCATACCTAATTTTATTATGGTCTGTTCGCCTTAGTCATCCCAATCCCGGCCTACTTGGCCTGCTGTTGTTCACTATATAACGCGTTGAACGGGCAAATTTACGTGACTATTGCAACCGAAGCAACTAGATCGACCAATAAGAACTATTTTAGTAGGAAAAAAGTTTATTTGATCAAAAAATAATTTAAAAAAGGTTTAATACATGGAGGCATTTTGTGTAGATGATGGTCCATCACTGGGTAAACATCCCGTATTCTTGTCTATGGGGCAGGATTAATATTAAAAATTGAAATGTATTCACCAGTCCAGCATTTGTTGCCTATTTCCTTTTGCTGTTTTTGTACGTAATTCTCGAGATACCTCTTCAGTCTCTTAGTGAACGCAGTCTCTGGGTCCTACAATGTGGCAGTGCAGTTTTTATTAATAAAAACTGCTCTGCCACTGTCCGCTTTCGCTGGCTGGAATTCCAGCCAACGAAAACGGCTACAAATGTAGATAGTGGACGCCTAATTGCAAACTTACCCAAAATGACTTTGTACACTGCTGAATTACTGAGACTGTCTTTAAGTTTTCGGCCCTTGAAGTTCACGCGAAGAGAAATTTCGTCCTCAAATAGCGCAAAGAAAATGTGCTTAATGAAGTCGTCTAGGTTATTGCCACCTGGACATCTAAGGAAACGCACTTTATGTGTTGTATAGGGATCAAACGGACAGCCTACTATTTGCCTTCTTAGTCCTATGTCATCCAATAGTGCGTTTAGCTGGCAGAAATCCGCTGCCGTCCGCATAGACCTTTCGATTGGGTTTTGTGGCTGTTGCGTGGGCTGCCCGTATGTAGTTACATCAACCTCGCCGAGTCGCCGTGCAATCTGCCGCAGTGCTCGCGACGGACTCCTGAGTAAACCCTTTAATCTACCTAGGTACATGTACCAGGACTATAATCCTGTACCAACAACTCAGATTTGCTGTCATGCTGGTGGCTAGCCATCTGATTAACTGATTAGGCACGGCCAGTCCTAGTACGGACTGCGCCTGCAATAACTTCTGACGAGATGCAGCCAATCAAACATTAGGCGTAGGACCTAGCCCTGAACGAGTTGGATGTAAAAGGACAAATGTCTTTTAGTCTTTTTTCCTATTTCTGTTCGAACCTGATACTGGATCTGCGTAGATGATCTGATCATTGTGTAGCCACTTCCAGTGCCTTTGTGCCTAGTCGAGGCGCCCGAACTGTCTGAAATCATTTACGCTACAGGTCACTATCGATTCAACGGCGATGACAAGTCCCCCACCAAGGCAGCTTGCCGTATACTCTTTCTACTGTAAAAGAGTACACGTTCTGCCCTATTAGGGCAGGTTTCCTGCGAAACTAAACCGTATCAGACTGCCTTTACGTCACCCCATAGCCACGTTGAAAATTGAGTTGCCTAATTCATCACTTTCTCCAAACTCTGTTTACGGTCTCAGACAGTTTGATTGTATTATTAAAATAGATGTCAAACGGTTAGTTTTCCCTGACAGCCCTCAACCGGAGGCTCACTAAAATAAGTGTAATGGTCATCTTTTTACTTGCAAAAACAGATTGTATCACCTGACCGGCTTTACGTTCCGGAAAACTCCGCGGCAAAGTTCTATTCAGCAGTGTTATAAGGTAGATCCAATGTTTTGTGCGTCTTAAGACCGGTGACGACCACCGTGAGGCGTTTAAGCAGCACCAAAATCAGGGTTAGGCTCCAGCGTAGTGAATGGGAAGACCCCCACAGCACGAGGCCTATTCAAGAATTCAAGTTGCTGTCTCAATTTATGCTGCACATTGTCGACGCCAATAGGTGCGCAAATAAGCCACACCTGGAAGAGTGGGAGTCTGCTATTTGTTTATAGATTAGAGTCCTTACGCCCAACTACGCTTATTTGGAGCTGTCTGAGGCGAACTGATGCACATTCTACTACAGGTATCGACGACTTTGTCCAGTTAATTTTTGATTACTTGTGTATTTCTAGTATTACTGGGCACATTTTTCATATCGGGAATCAATCTTGCTCGGTCTTACTCTAAGCTTCAGTTTAAAGCGACTAAGTCTATTGGCTTGTCTGTTAGCTTGCCTCCAGATGCTTTGTCTCCCACCCCTGAGCATGCTTTGTTGGGGTTCGCAATGCAGTTGCCTGGCAAGATTATACAAACTATGTTTGTTAATTGATTAACCTCAGCCATAAGCTCTGTGTGGCCTTTCGATGTTGTCCATGTCATGGCTTTTGTAAACGAAGGAAGAGAACGATTCCGACTTGCGAATCCTTTGCCAGGAAACCGATTTTCGCTGTCTTGTTCCCTAAGCCAAAAATTGTGCAGGCTCTCAATTTGCATACAAGATCGCTACGCTACTCAGTAGTAAAGACAGGCCGAAGATAAGAACCCGAGACAGACTTCGAATAAACATTAGTTGAAAACTTCACTTCCAGGAGTTTATGTTCAACTTCATACATAACAGTTATTCTCAAAGTTTTCGTTTTCTCCCACAGAAAAAACGCAAAATCAAAAATGGCCCTGGTACGTCGACTCATTGTTTGCTGTCTCTGTCCATGTGCATTTTTCTATAACTTCTCTCCTTCGTCGCTCGCCAAGCTGTCGGTTTCGCAGAATTTGCAATCCCTTCCTTGTCAAACACGTTATTAACCTATTAGTAATTCCGCTGTAAATAGCCACCTTTCAGGGTAGGATGCTAAAACGGCTAAGCTTGAATGATTTTCCTGGCTTGTCAGAAGGTCCATATACAAGTAAAAGATTAGCATGTGTACTTACCTAGCCCTGTCACAGCTGCGATTTTGCCTGATCTATCCGACAACAATGATGTTGCAGATGGTACTGTCGACGCCCAATCCTATTCGGCAGCAAGTATAGAGGACCCGGCCCAATCTCTTTCTCACCGGCGAAGACCGAGTCCTGAGGATCTAAAAACTCCGTCGACCCAGGTTTTAGGCTGACCCCATTGTCTCCCCATTCTTGGTAGTGGTGTCGAGTTTATGCAAGTCACACTGAATTCATGTAATTTGAGACGAAGAACATATCCAAGTTTCCTCAGCCGTGCTTGTTGAATGGCGTGGAATATTCTCGCGATGTTACTGCGGCGACCTTGGACTGCTTGATTCGAGATATAATAACTGTACTTCACTTAAAGGGTCTTCGTAGACAATGACGTTCAAAAGCCTTTTACAGGTAGAATGCAGCTTTTATAACCTCACAGACCTGACCGGTCGGACGTCTGCTATTCCGACTTTTTTGCAAGTGAAACCATGTCACATCCATGAAGGCCCTCTAATGCGCTGTGGGCAGTCCATGTTTGGGT